TCTCACAAGAGATGTGGGTTAAGATGTGTAATCTGGAAACATATAACTGTAATTTCATTTTGTGGAACCAAGGGCACCGTTTTGCAGGAAAGGAATGATTGTCTTGGGTTCCAGGAGAACCATATTGCTGACTTCTTGCTGAAGACTAGAAACTGTAATCCAGTCTCTCAGGTGCAGAGCTTTGAGGGTAACAGCAGGATGGAACTACATTTGTTAAGAAATCCAGGTTCTGTCCATAAAAATGACCACCCATTTGTAGCAGCATCTTCTGAGGCCGATCCATTTGTCTTACAACATAAATTTTCACCCTGCATTATAGGAGTAGGATGGCTTTATTGCAAGACACAGAGAGAGAAATGTTACATTTGCAAATCAATGAAATGGATGAGAGGATGCAGCCTACGCTGCCAACAGCAAATATGGAGAAAGCAAGCCACTAGCTTATGCTGCCCCAACTAATTTCACTTGGCAAACAGCAGAGTGACTTGGCAGAGACAATGGAATAACATTCATTCCACAATGAATGAAGAGAAAGATGACATTTGAGACTACAGATCTGTTGAATTTAATATCTTAAAACTACGGTTGCTTTGGAAGTGTCAGATTGTGTAATGAATTAACAACAATTTATATAACTCACAGTTTTCTCAAATAATGCCAGCTGGAAGTGTTTGTGCATATTAAAATGCATCTTGAAACTTTCCTTCATCTTTGCATATTCTAATTTGGGACATCTATGGAGCGCAGAAAAGGTACATGAGTCACATCTAAATTGTTTCATTGGCATTTATTGCATGCCAAAAAAAGTCTGCCATTTTGGCCTGGTATCTAAAGATGTGATCTGTGAGTTTAATGTCTTTCATTCAAGTGCTTAGCTGGGACCCAAAATACTTAGCTAGAAAATGCCCATAAACAAGGTGTCTGCAACACCAACAAAAATATGTATTATATATTATATATATTATATATATATATATAATGGCTTAACGTGATGTCATGGTCCATACAACATGCTAAAGCTTCATGCTCAACCACAAACCACCTAGCCCCATTATAGCTTAATGTGTACGGTCCAACACAGAGTCCTTCTAGGTCATCCAAACTAGAACTTAATCATACTAATATAATATCCTGAAACATGAACCAAGCCAGATTTTGATGATGCAGTATTTATCGTGCTTGGATGTCAAACGTATAGTCTATTATGGCTGGTGTGGGTCTTCCGGGCCGTGTTCTGGAAGTTTTGTTTCCTAACATTTCGCCAGCACCCGTGACCGGCATCTTCAGAGTGCAGGAGCACAGACAGGAGCAGTTCTC